AAACTTGGTCAGTCCATGACTTCGATTTCACTCCAGAATTATCCGGATATCATTTTTTAAGAAGTGATAGACATAGATGCAGGAAAGGAGGTGGCGTCCTTCTATACATAGCCAATAGTATAAATATCCGCTCTTCCGTTTGCGAATCCCATGATAGTGGAACTAGTGAAGTCATTAGCTGTGAGCTCACTGTCGGATGTTGTACATTTGCACTCGGTGTCATCTATCGCAGCCCAATCTGCTTAGCTGATGACTTTATTTTAGAGCACATTCGGCTATGGAGCGCAAATAACAGATGCTTGATATTAGGAGACTTTAATGCACCTGACATTAGTTGGACTGAGATGACCACGAAATGCTCTATAAACTCATTTGATAGCAGGCTCTTGGAAACAGTAATGGAACATGCATTATTATTTATTTATTTATTTAAACACATATATATTGGTACAAAAGGGCACCAGGTACATATGCGCCACACAAAATAATGAAAGTAGGTAGATAAAGGATGAAAAGATAAGGCGGGCTGAAATGTACAACCAGAAGATTCTTTCAGTTAGGAAAGTTAGAACCATTCTTTATGTAGAAAGTAAAAGAAGGTTGCAGCAGGATCGCCACTGGCTTCTATTCTGAGCCATATCCGATAACGTCTCTAGCCACTGTGTTGCACTATCTCTCGGACCCCAACCAGGGAGTCGTGAAGAACCAACGGAAGCTAGCCCTTTGCAGCTCTCTTTCATGCCACGACACCATGTCATACACTGACCTCCTCTCCGCTTTTTCCAACCAGTCCCAGAGTCGGCAAGTAATGCACGACGTGGAAGTCTCTGGGACGACATTCGTAAAACATGTCCGAGCCACCGAAGTCGGTGTTTCAAGATTGTGACACCAATTGAATTATCGTCTCTGCGCCCGAACACACGATGCCGAACCTCTGCATTACTAACATGGTGTTGCCACTGGATGTCAGCAATCCTTCGGAGACAACGGTGATCGAACACAGAGAGACGTCTAACATCCTCAACTCGGAGAGGCCAGGTTTCACAAGCATAGAGCAAAACTGCTCTCACCGACGCGTTGTAGATCCGACCTTTTACAGCCAGACTAACATCACGAAGGCGCCAAAGATGGCCCAGATTGGCATAAGCCGCTCTGGCTTTCATTATACGTGCATCAATCTCATCACTCACGCCACCACCAGCACTTATATAGCTACCTAGATACACGAACTTCTCAACTACTTCGATCTCCTCACCATCCAGGGTGAGTATAGGATGAGAATCCTGCCAGTCTTGTAGAAGTACTTTGCACTTGGAGGGTGCAAAGCACATGCCGTACCTGCGGACACTGATTGCCAACTGATTAAGTGCTGATTGCATGCCTTGGGCATTATCGCACAGTAAGACAATATCATCCGCATACTCAAGGTCGAGAAGTCGTTCTCCAGGCAACATATCCACACCGCCATTACTTACATCCATCAGAGCTGTTTTCAGGATGTCGTCGATGGCAAAGTTGAAGAGGAATTGGGAGATCGGGCAACCCTGCCTAACCCCACTGCTCGAATGGAACAAGGGAGAAAGGTGGTTGTATGCCCTCACTCTGCCTGAGGTGTTCGTATACAGGGCCTTTAAGATGTTAATGAACTTCTCAGGCACACCCTTCTTCAATAGACAATCCCAGAGAACAGTCCTGTCCAACGAATCGAAGGCCGCCCTGATATCAAGAAACACTACGATTGTTGGCCTGCGATAAGTATGACGGTGTTCTAACATTTGGCGGAGGGTGAAGATGTGATCAATGCATCCTCGACCAGAACGAAAACCAGCCTGCTCCTCGCGAGTCAATCGTTCTCGGGTTTTAAACAACCTACGAAGAATGATAGAAGCCAATAGTTTGGACGCGATCGAAAGTAGACTTATCCCCCGATAGTTGCTACAGGAACAACGTGAACCCTTTTTAAAGATAGGGACGACTATTGACTCATTCCAAGATGTTGGAACACTTTCTTGCTCCCAAACCTTTCCAAACAACGCAGTCAGTTCCTTAGCCAGAAAGTCACCACCATCTTTAAAAAGAGCCGGAGGTAAGTCATCTGGGCCAGGTGATTTATAACGTTTCAAGAGTTGGAGTTCCTTGCGGACTTCCGCCTCGTTTGGTGGATCAGTCGTCACCGGCCATGGGGAGCAGGACAAGCTGGTTGATGTTGCCGGAGCAGAAGGCCAGTTGAACTGCCCTTCGAAAAATTCCGCCCATCGTCCAAGACGTCGGGAGATGTTAGTGATTGGCATCCCGTCATCCTCGTAGATTGTTTCACTCACACCAGACTTCTTGCTGCCAGTGGCTCGGATGAGTTGGAAGAGCTTCCGGCAGTTACCAGATGCAGCTGCTGCTTCCATCTCATTAGCACGCTTCGACCACCAGGCTTCCCGGTCCTTACACAAGCTTTGCCCGATTTCATTACGTAACAGCCTTCGTTTGTGGTCAAACTCACGGTCACCCGGAGTAGACCGACGGGCTTCCATCAGTTGTAAGGAGCCAGAAGAAACCCAGTGCTTGTAAGCGGGACGTTTCGCGAAGCCGCAAGCGGCTTTACTCGCCATTTTCATGGCGTCGTGAAGATGCAACCAATGCTCGTCTATACTTTTCGGTGGGGTGGTAGCTAGCCTAGAGGCTAGCTCAGCTCGATACTTACCTGCAACAGAAGTTGCAGCCAGTTTACTAATATCAATCCGTTGGTGGTGGTCAATCCTTCGGCCACTGAAAAGTAAGGTGAGATTGGCGCAGACCAGGGCATGATCAGACTCCAGATAGGTACTCCAAAAGGAGCGGCAGTCTTGTACACAACCACGCCAGCGGTAGCTGATCGCGATGTGATCAATCTGAGTCCAGGCTTGGGATGCAGAGGGAGGACGCCAGGTGGCACACCGGCGATGACTGTGCCGGAAGTTAGTGCTGGCCAGAAACAGGTTGTGGTCTGTGCACAGTTGCAGCAAACGGTCCCCGTTATCTGTCCGGCGACCAACAAGTCCCCATCGGCCACCTAGACGACTCTCTTCTGTGCCTAGACGGAACATGCATTAATACAACATGTATCCAAACCTACACGTTTTGGTGTAAACCAAGGTTTGTTTCTGTTGGACTTGGTAATTACCTATGAGACTGAGGATATTGCCAACCTAAAAAAAAAAATAGCAATCACGCTGTTTTATCATTCACGTTTAGGGCTAGCGATATGATAAACGATCAGATTAAGCCTCGGCCAAACATATGGAGAGCTAATATACCAGCCATTCAGGATTGTACTACTAAGATAGATTGGTCAGTAGATACTAGCTCATCAGTTGACGAGGCGTGGTCTGTATTTAAAGGCAAGTTCAGTGCAGTCACGTCCCCGTTCATACGATACTTGGTGCCACGTAGACCGAACAATAGTCCACCGTGGATAAATAAAGAAGTTAAGAAACTCCTTAGGCGTAGAAAAAAACACTGGAACATGTTCATCTCTACTGGCTTAGAACAGTACAAATCTAGTTATTGTAAGATTAGAAATACTTGTAAAGCTTAACTAGTGCAGTTGTAAAACTAATGGAAAAAATTATTAGGATGGCTGTTGTAAACTACGTGGAAAGACATGATCTTTTGTCAAAGGAACAACATGGTTTTCGAAAAGGTCTATCATGTTTGACAAATCTTCTCATTGCAAGAGAAGATTGGGCTGAGGCAAAAGATCGCAATATTCCTGTAGATGTCATTTTCATAGATCTAAGTAAAGCCTTTGATAAGGTTTCCCATTCTGGTCTTAAATTAAAACTGGAAAGTTTTGGAATTCATTATGCAGTCATAGACTGGATAAGTGACTTTCTTCATGAAAGGAGACAAGGGTAAGAGTAAATGGGGCTCTCTCATCGTGGGAATTAGTAAAAAGTGGCGTCCCCCAAGGCACGATTTTAGGTCCCCTTTTCTTTTTACTCTATATAAATGAATTACCAGCTATAGCTAAGTCATCCATCCTACTATTCGCCGATGACATTAAGATTTGGAGACCCATATATAGTATGTCAGACAGAATAGTTTTACAGGAAGATCTTAACTCATTAGTGGCATGGATGAATGGGTGGTCACTAGAAGTAAACCCTAATAAAAGTGTTGTGATGCAATTAAATAACTACGATGATCACTACACAATATGTGGATTAGTGTTGCCCAAAGTAAGAAACTATAAAGATTTAGGAGCCATACTAAGTAATGATCTCAAAACAACCAGTCACTGTAAGGCTACTGCTGCAAAAGGCTATAGGGTATTATGGTCTATTCGTAGATCTTTCCGGTATCTGGATGGGGAAATGCTTAGATTAGTATACCCAACTTTTGTACGGCCACATTTGGAATATGGGATTCAAGCAGCGAGTCCTTGTTTCAAATATGAGGCGGATATGTTGAAACGAGTCTAACGCCGAGGGACAAAAATGGTAAAAGGCCTATCTAGCCTATCTTATGAAGACAAACTGAGACACCTCAACTTATTTCCGTTATCTTACCGGCGAATACGGGGTGATCTAATATTGGCATATCGTATCCTGAACGATGACCTTGGTACTAACATGTCCTATCTTTTCCTCCCGTCTAGGGCTGATCATTTGAGAGGACATTCAAAGAAAGTCCAAAAACCGAGATCAAACCGTCTACGTCTGGAGTTTCGTTTCTCGCACCGAGTAGTGAATTACTGGAATTCTCTACCAGAACACGTAATATCAGCACTTTCTGTTGATATATTTAAGACGAGATTGGACCTCCACAGTGTAACAAACTGCAAGGATTAAAATAAGTCACTAGACCTCCTATCCTTATTACTGAAAACTAAACCATAGAGCATTATTTAAAAAAAATTATGGTTGGTTGATTTTCTTAGTCTCCAAAAGCGTAGGCGATGATCCAGTTAGTCGAATTTGGAATACGATTACATATTTGCTAGAATTAAGTAACAAATAAGAACTTACTATCCATGACTTGGTAGCAGGGTAATATGAATCCCTATCCATAAGACCTCTAATGGGGTCTGCAACAGTCTCGGAACTTCTTATTGGGTATAATCGTCGGTACGTATTCCCGTAAAAACCGGAGTTATTTCCGTATGCTCTGATATAAACGTAATACAATGTACTACGAATGAAATTACGCTTGATAACTTGATGTAAACATATAGTTTTGTGCCTTTTTGTCATCTTCAGTTAAATGTCTGGTATTTAAAACTTCCTGCCAAATGTTTAAAAGAATGCAAGAACATGACTTGTGTAAAAACATACAAGTTGTGGAAATATTGAGGTCTTTAAAAGCTGTTTGGGCTGACAGATTTCACTTTTTAAGCTTGCTTAAAAGGTTACAAGACATAAAAAAGCACCATTTTACCGGCAAACCTGCCCCGAATTATTTGATCACTAATGCATTTATCATGCATTGGCAATGGTTTATTTAAGGTCTCTGGAGGTGCCATGTTTGAACCTTCTCTGAATGCGTTAATGTCCTGATAATAATTTGCTGCATAAGCGTTACAAACTACCCCCGGAGACATATTTTGAGGCTTCCTTCTGTCAACGCTATTTTTCACTTCAAAATGACTGAGTGGGGATGCTGACACAAGATTGGATATGTTTATGGAATCTTCCAATATCGCCAATGGTGGATGCTGTGGTAGAATTTTTAATTTTTCCTGTTCTTTGATAGAGTTTTCACTTTTCGGTAGAAGATTCCTGTTTTTTTCTTCTTTTTCCCTGACCATTACATCTAAATCATTCTCAGTGTTTCGACTATTCTCTTTCCATGGATTGCTCATATCGAGACCTTGAATTTCAAAATGTTGAGCGATAGAATTTGGAGTGTTGTTATACGAATGCAACACTATAACAAAACCAAACAATAGTGAACAGAATGGAGGTTCTTGCCTAGCAAGGTTATGTACGTCATCAACTAAGGTAAGCAAAAACAACAGTTCATGAAATAGTTGATAGTAAACCATTTTTGAGTCAGGTTTTTTATTACGAGGTACTACGCACTGAAGTGCATTTTTACTTTTTCGAATAACTTTTCCTGTGTCATATAATGCAGCTACATAAAAGTTTGAGCGATTAAGCTAAGCACCCAAAGTAAAATGTCATTGAGCTATCGATCAGTGATCTGGCAGATAGACCACTGAATGTTAAATAGTTTATTGAGCTTGTTGAGGATGCAACGGATGTTCTAATTTTACAACTAGTTACCAGTAGCACCTTCTATGTTCGATCGTTCCCAGTCAGATAGAAATCAGAAGCCAGACGAGAAGAGGCAGGAAAGGTATATTTGATTCGTTACCAATATATCGAGGACCTTTTCTATGAGCTGGCTAATGAAACGTAGGAGCTGTGTCCCACGCCGAGTTGAAACGTGATCTGGTGCGGATGCATGACCGAAAGCCTTCAGCTAAACAAGTCCACTTAAACAACGTGGTCAGCATCCAATGTCGAACACTTAATGAGCTATTGATTTTGGGGAATTATTTACAGCTACAGATCACTCCCCCCCCTAGTGAGGTGGTGATGCCCCTAAGACGTGACCAGCCAGAAGTTTAAACCCAACGAGTTTGTCGTTGGTAAACACTCTTCTGATAGCTTGCTTCGTTTAGCAGCGTCTGGTCGTCTTTCCTTGAAACTATGGGACCAAAGTGTACAACATAGCAATAAAGAAATATAGTACAGTGAAAATTTCGGTTCCTTGCGAAACTTCGTCGTTCTTTTCCAGCCGTCCTGGAAAAGAGGAAAAATAAAACGTGTGAGTGCATGTCGAAAATACACTCGTACTTGCGTAAGGACACAAGATGAGCGGAAAAAAATAAACTGATACACTTACAAACAGCGTAAAAGCGATCGGAAAAAAATGGTTTGTTTTTGGGTTTTTTTTATATATAAAAATTATATATATATACGCTCAAAAAAAATAATAAAAATGTTTTGTTTTTTTTGTTTTGTTTTTTTATAAATAGAAAAAATGAGCATATTAAAAAAATTTATAATAAACAAGATGAAGCTTATGTTCTTCTTGCAATATTCGTTAAGATGTTCTGGAAATCTTACTCGTCTTCCAGAACGCGTTGTTTTAGGTTTCTCTATCGACGTTGACGAAGTATCAAGTTGTGTGTCGGTTGTCGTGCAGGGTACTACGAGTGTAGTAGCTGTGTCGTTTGCTTGTACCGAAGGAAAATCGACGTAGCTAGGGTTTCCTTCTAAGTACGCTGCTTTTAGGCGATCGATACTGATGCTATCTTTCGTACCGTTCTTATCGACTACATAGTACTTAGGTTCGCGTTGAAGAACTTTGAAGGGTCCTTCGTATGCTGATTCGAGGGGTCGTCGATGTGAGTCTCGACGAACGAAGACGTGTGTACTATGTCGTAATTCGGGTTGAACGAAAACATCAGTTGATTGAGGTCGAGTGTGAGCAGGTTTAACTGAACGCATAGCGTTTGTAAGCCTACTTGTGTAAGAGTTTAGATCCATGTTCAATGAAGAAGCTGAAGGATCCACGAATTCTCCTGGGAGTCGGAGTGTCGTTCCGTAAACGAGTTGAGATGCCGTGTATCTAATGTCAGCTTTCACTGCATTGCGGATACCTAGCAAGACGAGTGGAAGAGCGTCTGTCCACTGTGAAACGTTTGAAGCTGATAATGAAGCTTTTAATTGTCGATGAAAACGTTCTACCAACCCGTTTGTTTGTGGGTGGTAGGCGGTCGTTCGGAAGTGCGTGATTCCTAATAGTGAGGTGAGACAACGGAAAAGTCCAGATTCGAATTGGCGTCCTCGGTCTGTAGTGATTGTGAAAGGGCAGCCGAAATTTGCTACCCATCGTTCGACGAAAGCGCGGGCCACGGTTTCAGCAGTAATGTCCTTAATCGGTACTGCTTCTGGCCATCGAGTGAAACGGTCTACGTATGTTAGAAGATATGAGTATCCGTTCGAGTCGGGTAAGGGTCCTACCAAATCTAGATGGACGTGGTCGAAACGAGCGTCAGGGGTTTTGAAAGAACCTAAGGGACATTTGTTGTGTCTGATTACCTTAGATTTCTGACAGCTTACACAGGAGCGTACCCACTCCCTCACGTCTTTATTCATGCCAGGCCAACAAAAGCGTTCGACTATAAGTTTGATTGTTGCACGAGCACCTGGATGAGAAAGATTGTGCAACGTATTGAAGGTGTTGCGTCGATAATGTTTTGGTACAATTGGACGATCCCTACCTGTAGATGTGTCACAGAGTAAGGTTTCCTTACCTGTTCCCATCTGCCTAATACTTAGTTTAAGAGTTGTCGAGGATACCTTATGCTGAAGATCTATGTCTTCTTTTTGAAGCTGAGCGAGTTTAAGAAGGTCGATTCCTTGGAAACTGTTTAAGGAACTTATTCGAGACAAGGCGTCTGCGACTACATTATTAGCTCCAGAAATGTGTTGTATGTCTGAAGTAAACTGCGAAATGTAGTCGAGTTGTCGAGACTCTCGCGGTGAGTACTTGTCTGAAGATGAACTTAAGGAGAAGGTAAGAGGTTTGTGATCGGTAAAAGCGTGAATTCTCTTCCCTCGATGGAATGTTGGAAATGCCGTACAGCACAATACATAGCTAGGAGTTCCCTACCGAACGTACTGTACCTAGATTCCGCGTCTAGCAACCGTCTCGAAAAAAATCCTAAAGGTTGCCATGAGTTGTTAACCCATTGTTGTAAGACTCCTCCGATTGCTGAGTCGGATGCGTCTACGGCGATACTAATGGGCGCTTGAGTGTCCTGATGAGCAAGCAAGGTTGCTTTAGCGATGTGTCCCTTAACTGTGAAAAATGCTTTACGAGCTATGTCGTCTAAACTAATTGATTTCGCATTTCCACGAAGCTGATCGGTTAACGGTTTCATAAGGGATGCGCATTCGGGTATGAACCGTCTATAGAAACTTACAAGTCCGTTGAAAGTTCGCAACTGCTTGATCGTGGTCGGTTCTGGGTAATCCAGAATGGCCGCCACTTTGCTCCTAAGGGGTCGGATGCCTTGAGCATCAATGGTGTGTCCTAGGAAGTCTGAGGAGTTTGTTCCGATTTGGCATTTCTGTATGTTGACAGTAATGCCATGCCTTTGGAGTCGATCGAACACAATGTCCAGATGCTTGAGATGCGATTCTCTGTCCGGACTTGCTATTAGACAGTCATCAACATACGCATGTACGAAGTTGAGACCTCGGAAGACGTCGTCTATAAACCTTTGGAAGGTTTGAGCCGCGTTTCTTAAAACAAAAGGCATTCGTAGAAATTCGTAAAGACCGAAGGGATTGATGATGGCGGTTTTAGGAATGTCGTCAGGTGCTATCGGGATTTGGTTATAAGCTTTAACCAAGTCGATTTTCGAAAAGACAGTTGTACCTTTCAAGGTAGCTGTCAAATCGTGAATATGAGGCAGCGGGTAACGATCGGGAATGGTTTTTGCATTCAGACGCCGATAATCACCAGTTGGCCGCCAATAATTGCTGTCCTTATTAGGGACCATGTGCAATGGGGATGCCCATGGACTATTCGATGGTCAAATTCGTTTTTAGCTAACCTAAGCTTCTCGGGAGCGAGTCTTCGAGCTTTCGAAAATACAGGTGGTCCTGTAGTCGTGATGTGATGTGTAACATTGCTGGTTACACAAGGCAATTTCGATTGCGATTGGTATATCCCGGGGTATTTGTCGAGTACTGATTGGTACAATGGGTCTATGGTGTTCTTAATCGTGACTGGGGATAACCTGCAACCGCAACAAGGAGTTACGCAAACGGATAACTTAGTGTTTCCGTCTATTAACCTTCGTGAGCGTGTGTCGATGAGTAGATTGTGGTGTTGTAACAGGTCTATACCAATGATTGGCATAGAGATGTCTGCAATAACGAAAATCCAGTGTATGGGTTTGCGTAAACCCACGTTAAGATAGACGTACCTTTTACCGTAAGTAGCGATCGGCTTTCCGTTTGCCGCCTGTAAACTTAAAAGAGACTCGAGAAGTCTGTCGTCGGGATTTGCTGGAAGAACGTTAACTTCTGCACCAGTGTCGACGAGGTAGCGAACTTTCGTAGTCACATCCGTAAAATATAAGAGGCGGCTGTGTTCGCCGGCTACGGTTGCCGTTAACGCGTGCCGGCTGCGAAGTTTCCCGAAATCTTATTCGTGTCAGTCGATTTCGAAGTCGGATAATTGCAAGGTTTCCTGCAGTTTCTGGAAAACTTACCGTACTGGTTATGATACCAGCACCAGTCGGGATTGTCTGTCTCTCGTGGTCGAGAGCCAGATCGCCTACGTGAGACACTTCTACGCGGGGTTTTTGACCGACTACGGTCATTGCGAACTCTAAGATACCGTGTAAGCGTGTGACATAGTTCGGCCATGTCAGTCGAGGTCGATTGAGGTTTTTCTTTGACGGAAAAAATCTCGGCCTTAGAAGATCTAGTGATTTCCAAGATTCGATCGGCAGATGCAGCTAGTTCATCTATGGCATTGTTTTGAAATGAAACAAGCACTGCTTGCACCTGTTGAGGGAGTTTAGACAAGAAAAGTTGTCCAAATAGGCCATCATCGAAAGTTCGTTGGCCGATGACTTCTCTCATTCTAAGCAACATATCCGTCGCAGAACCATGTTGCAAGTCGATATTGTTAAGGAGTTGGTCTAACCGATGTCGATCAGTTAGGTCTCCTCGTTTTAAAATCGATAGTTTAAGCGTTTCGTAAGGTTCGGGAACATCACTAGTAAACATACTAGGTGTTACGTACCTGTTAAACTCGCGCGGTAACGCCTTAACTACCGCGAGGAAACGTGTGCGCGAGTCCGTGATTCCGTGCGTGCAAAAATCGGCTTCTGCATAACAGAACCAGGACTCGATATTGTCGGGC